TACATAACCAAGTTAACCACTTACAAGAAACCGGGCATGCCAAGTACTGCTAGCTTCGTCCAACTTTTTGTGATTGTGACGGAGAATATCGTTTTCACGAGCCCATTCCTCAAACTCAGCAACTGCATCGCCGTAGAGCTGCAGTGTCTTTGGTTTCACTCGCCCAGCCACGAGCTGTTTGTGCCGAGGTAGGTATGAGCCCACATCCAAGGACCGCGTCTTTCTCTTCCTGACGGCGGGCATTGTGCGTACCGGTTTTGCGTTTGAGAGCTTTGCGCTTGCTCCGCCTGGCTTCGAGATCAGCTTTGGAATGTTGTCCAAACGCGATGGTGCTCAAGATGCCCTTACAGTCTTGTTCCGCTGACTGGCACTGATTGCTCCAGAGATTTCCGAAACATGACGCGCTTTATGCACTCGCACCACTTACGACAAAGATCAAGCGGATAAGCTCCAGCGAGTTTCGCCTGGCTCGTCCATGCACCGTCTTCATGCCTAGTCACTACCCGATGCTTGAGATGGTCACATTGTACACACAGAGCACACAAATTTGGGCAATTTCTGAGAATAGCGGCGGGTCTATTGTAGGAGATACCATACTTGCACGTAGGAAACTTTACGAACAATACGCCATGCAAAACGGTAAGCTCTCGCACTGCTGGAAAGTCCCACAGTCTCGATAGCTGGGTTTTCGATGCTCCAATACCTCCCGAGCTTTTGCGCCAGTCTGCACGCTTCACAAACGAAACACGCCAGTTCACAACCGACCCGTTCCCCTTCTCTGGCTCGAAGAACGTTGCAGATGTTACGCCGTGCTCTTGAGAAAACCGCGCATGGAACACCAAAATGAACATACGCGACTTTGAACTCGAGTATGCAGCGTAAGACGGCCAGCTATGTGGATCTCCTCGTCCAGTCATGATCCGAAGATGTGAGAAGGTCCAGTGGAGGAAGGGTTTGGAGCTTGAAATCATTGAACACCTTGGTGAGATTTCCAGACCCTGAAAAGATTTCCCAAAAGGGACCGCATCGATTTCAGGATGATGCAAATCTGCAACTCCGGCGGTACCTTCAGGCGAGTCAACAAAAGAGGAGGAGACAGCGTTAGGCAACGTCGGAGCCCGTAGTGGGCCACTCTTCTCGTTGTTCTCCTGGAAGTTTTTGTAAGTGTAGGTCTCCTTCGGAAAAAGGCGGTCATGAAGATGAAGTGGGAAAATGTCTTCATGCAAACCTCGTTGAGTTCCGAACGTGTATGCTTCTCTTCGAACATGCGAGATGGTTCATCGGCGACGTTCCGCTTGGTCTCAATACGCCTCAATCTACCGCAACCCAGTTCCCACCTGAATGGCAAAAGCGATGCGACAGAGTTTGTTGAGACCTGGTGCGCTGGATCTTCCTTTTTCAAAGCATACTACCACCGGAAGGTTGTCGGAGATCGTGAGCTTACGCAATCCGAATAAAAGAACAGTTCGATGGCAACCCGCGCTTCTTTCAGTCCTATATGTTCATGTGGGTTTCGCCATCTCTTCGCCCGCAGCAAACGATAAGCCTTGGGATCGACGAAGTCAGAACTCAAAGGAGGTACTAGAGCAGGAATCTCAACGTCTTCACGCTTTCCACGTCTTGCTCTGAATTGCGACATGATGGGGTTTGTTTTCAACCAAGATCCCTCTGAAAGAGCCTCCTGCAGCCATTGACCGTATTCAGTTCCAAGACCAACCCCACTAAGACACCAACTCAAGGGACTGTTTGCCTGGAGCTTCTCATAGCCAGTGAGGTTTTCGAAATCAGTCACTGAGTCCACCAACTTTCCCCCGCGGATAATGTCACGAATATTTTCTGGCAAAGGCTGATACCTTCATCTTTCTTTGACTCGGCATGCCGCGATGATAGCCGAGCGGGGCGCTTCATGTGTCATCAAGGCATACCCAGTGTCCGCGGAATCGCCCATATCAACCTGTCTAATGTAACCCGCACCCAGGTCAATACGACAGTACTAAACAAGATTAGCCGCGGTTAGGATTTCCTTGCGCACGCTCGGCCACAACGGCACCCTCCTCCCCTCCGCAACGACAATGAATCTGTAGATCTTGTCAAAAATCTCAGAAGGAAAGGGGCGAGTCGCATGAGGGAAGTTGCATGCCCAGGCCAAACTCGAATAGCATCGCCCCGTATTTTGGACCTCCGCGCCACTTCTAAGCCAGCGAGATGGACCCGCCAGAGACGGCGGGGCCGGTATCGCAATGACCTACGCGTGAAGTCGACAACACAACCAACTGTATGAAGTTCTCGAACAGGCTCGGAGTACGTCCAAACGATGGGGATGCCATGAGTCTCAAAAGTATTGGCTAACTGCTGTGCACGCTCCTCAACCCCACTCTTCCCAGCTCCAAGAACAGCGACGTTGTCAACATACGTGGATGTTATCCTGAATACCGTGCTCAACCCGGAAGGCTTTGCTACGCGGCATGTCGACGACAAGCCATGATGCCGTTTCACGGATTTCAAACTGACAAAAGCAATCCGAAACGTCCATCTCGGTGCTCCAGCCGACAGAACTAGCATCTTCTCCAAGGTTGGTCCGACTGGACTCATCTGAAAGATCAAGATCAGCACAAGTAGCTGCACTTCCAAGTCGCGTGACGGGAGCAGAATGATGATGCGAATTAGTCAACCTCGCGTCAATTATCCTACGTATGGCAGAAGGGTCCCTCTTCCTCACGAAGAATATCCCGACCTTGCTACGGATGGACGTCCAAAAGTCAATATGCCCGCGTCGTGCAGGCGCCTGAGAAAGTCAATACGAACTTCCTCACACCGTCGAAGAGTAGGATCCCAATAAGGTTGCTTCGGGACCCCACGGGGATTGTCATTAACAAACTTATCGAATTCAACCCGACTCCTGACTCCTCTCGATATGAACTTCTTTGCGCTGTAAGAGAGGTAGAACATGTCCAGGCAGAAGCTCTCCAAGAGGTTTGGGCTTGACTGTCGACCGCAAAATCTTGAGTTTCAGCGGATCGTACCTTGCAAGGTTTCCGGGCTCCCCATCATAGAGGCTATGAGATCTCAACAAGTCCTGTAACGCCGAGGCCGGCGTCATGCTATCAGCTTCACGAAGGCATTCATGAAGACGATCGACCATTAACTCGTGCACGGCCGTGCACGGACGAAGAGATTGCTGCTTGAAAGGATCATTGAATTTGAAGCCTGCGAGGTGGTTCAACGACTGAGTTGCCCTAATCGCTCGCGTAGGCTGGCTTGCATACTGACCGGCTCCAAGAGGAAAGGGGAATCCGTGAGCTCGCAGATCATCCCTCTTACCAGATATGGCCCGAAGAAAACTCTACAGCAAGACCGGAGGGCCAATAACCGACCTTGCCGAAGTCAAAGGATTAGCTGATGGTGCCAGCGCTACTATCAGCGCCGGCTTGGACTTTCCCTTTTGGTGTACCGCGTCCACGTCCCCCTCGCTTGCCACCAGTGTCAGCATCCCAATTGTTAAAGGACAAAGTGACGGCTTGCCCTGCGGCCCCGCACTCTGCTCCCTCACAAGATCGAGACCGGTGTAGTCGGGCGAGGTGGGCGATCTGCAGTCTCAATCTGCATGAGTGGTCTCACTGCAAGTTCTATGCTCAGCAGGTTTGACACATCCAGTTGATCAGCTGATAGTGTAACCCTCAATACGTCGCAAAGGACCTTATGTTCGTGGACTGCAGCTGAAAACTGAGAGACGCCAGATGACTGAACCCATGAAAGATGATATGTAGTCATGTCTGTGGAACCGTCTCGAACTGCTTCACGATACCTTTGACAGCTCTAGGTCCTAACAGGGGCCAGTCATCCATCGGAGTGCTTCTCAACATCCCCACCGCAAATTTGAAGTCCAGAAAGCGTCTGCCCTTCGAGTCTCTATATGGTCCCCGAGCAGTCTTGCATCGTGCAGCGTCTTCTCCTTGCTCACAAGCCATTCGGCCTTCTCTGCAGCGCTCACTCGTCTCACATAGACCTCCTCACCCGCTGGAAACTCCCGTCGCCTTTCTAACACGACATGACGAGTCGTATTCAAATTCATCGGCTGAAGATTGCCATCTGGAGTAAGGCTTATCCACGTGCCAGCCCCAATTTTCTCCAGGAGAAGCCGATGGTGCCATAAGACACCATTGGCATCATGAGGGAAATGCACAAGAATTTGCGGCTCCCTAACATCCAGAGTCCTAGCCATTGCTGCCATTGTCAACTTTCCGTCTCAACCGACGAAGATCGCCAGGGGTTAAAGGCCCAGTTCGTTCAATGCTGCTCAATGATTCCGAAATTGGTGGAAGATCTCTACCTCGTCTCCTGATTGCACGTCTGCAAAAGCGAGCGCTGAGTGGCCCTGGTTTCGCACAGCCCTTGCCGAGCCCCAGTTCCACACTAGAATCAAGCCCAGGCAAACAACCAGGATGAGTTCAGTCCAACCTGACGCACGGAGCAAAAATCTCTGGACCTCTGATTCGCGTTGACAGACCTCAAGAGCACTATTGGATACTTCCAAAAGCCGCTGACCCCGGGCGAGTTCCAAGCGAAAGGAATGCAGGTCTGCCGTGAGCGCCTCCAATTCAGGACCACGTCGTTCAAGAAACCACCGCCCTAGGTGGCTTCCCAGCACTATGGCGATCACAGAATGACCACTAAAGTTGAGCATCCAACCGTCTCGAAAAAGGCTACGGGAGCAAGTTACAAGTGGGGATTTCAAGCAGCACTCGGCACAAACATCGCAAGCTTTACAATGCTACTTGGATCTTGGGGCTGAAGAGCTTCGTGTGCATGGGCTTTTGGTATGGGCGGTATTGGGCGGCATGGGAACTTACGTGCCGCGGGGGGCTGTGGAGGATTCAGGGCTTCGGGTTTAGGCATTTAGGGTTTAGGGTTTAGGGGGTGTAGGATTTAAGGTTTATGAGGGTTCAAGATCTGCGGTTCTCCTGTCTGATTCTCGGACTTCCTCCGAGACTTCATGGAGTGTTACAAATTGACAGCACACTCCCCACGATACCCAAGGATCCTGAACAACTCCCATCCAAACTGCCGAACACATCAGTAAACCCCAAACCCGGAGCCATAAATCCGAAGACCGAAACCTCCGCCTGCCGACGACCCTGGAACCCTACACCAAAATTTAATCCCCAACCCTCAACCGACAGGGTTTAGGGTTTCGGGTTTAAGCCATAGAGAAAAAACACCTGTTTCTGCAGAAAGGTTGCAGCTGTGCCCCGACGACTTCACCGAAAAGCACCTGGATTTTCAGCTCCAGGGGCCTGCGCCGAGTCCCTGAACCCTAAACTCATGGAGTTAGGGCGTAGGGCTTGCGGTTTTTCGGGTTTAGGATTTAGGGTTTTCGGAGCTTTTCGGGCATGTTGCTTGGGGGTTTAGGGCTTCGGGTTTGGGATTCAACTTAGCTACGGGGCTTCCAGGGTTTATGGGGATTCTGGCGTGGGGAGTTCCGTGCAAACTGGTCTAAGTGGCAGGGTTTGGGGGTTAACATTGTAGAGATGTCGATGTACCCAAACAATATATACTTTCGGTCTTAAAAGTCTGTTTAAAGCAGTCCCCATATAAGTACTGTAGGGCCAATGTACATACTCTTTGGGTTCATGGTCGCTTCGGGCATGTTGCCCGCCTCATGAACTTTGGGCAAACACCGCGCTCAAACGCGCTGTGATCGCTTGGCGCCTTGCCACCTTCGACAGCCCATGGGTTTGGAGGCTTAGGGTTTAGGGTTTAGGGGTTGAGGCTTAAGGACTTTCAGGTGTGCTGGCGTACTATTCTGTTGTTTCAGGATGTAGCCTCGCATATCAGGGAAACCACAGCTCGAATATATTTCTGCTCGCGTGTTTGCATCACTTGAATGTCTTATGCTTGCGGAGGCGGAATTCAGGCGGACAGGGTTTAAGGTCTTTGGGGTTTTAGGGCCCCCAAGATTCCTAGGTACTGTTCATGGGCATGGGGGATACTTCCCCAAATCATACTAACCATTCCTACTATAGAAGCCCGACATTAAATTCTGGTTACTATAGAGGTTAATAGGATCCTTGGTGGCTTCAGGGTTGGAGGGTGTGGGCATTAGAGTTCTGCACTTTTGACAACAAGACCATACACGTTCGAAGAAACGGTGCGGGTGATTTGCCCTAAACCCTGAATGAAACCCTGAACCCTATTAGGCTTTAGGTTTAGGCCCTAAAGGCCCTAAACCCTACAAGGATCCCCCAAGGGCCCTTTCATAGAGCCCTGACGGTCCTTGATAATGGTTTTTTGGAGGTATGATTGAGGGCAGTTGGGGGGTCCAGGTAAACCGTTCAACCTCGAACCTTTTAGCTCCTAAACCGACCCTAAACCCTAAACCCAAAGCCCTGAGCCCTACCATAAACTAGTACCTGCGTTTCGGACTTCAAGCTTCACGGTGGCGACCAACACAGCGCGGCCCCTTGAGGTTGCTTCTAACACGGCTGTCCAAGGGCCGGGTTTAGGGCTTAGGGATTTAAGGTTTAGGGATTGAGAGCTTATAGGGCTTAGGGATTCAGGGCTTAGTGTTTGGGGATTTAGGGTTTAGGATTAGGCTCGCTCAAAGCAGCGGACATGTCTGCAACGCCCGCATCACCCGTCCGAGCTGCTGCGATTCTCATGGAGAAAGTCGAGCAGAGGGGCATACATCGGCTGCAGCACTACACCTTGTTGGCGGGAAATGTTCGTAACCCCACAAGCCCCCGCAAAGGTCCAAGGTGCAACCTTAAACCCTGAACCTCCCACACGACCTGCAAACCCCAAGCCCTTCAACTGGCCCCAAGCCCCAAACCTTAGAGGATTCGGAGTCAGGTCAAAAATGCCCGAATTGCGGTTAAGGGCCAGTTGAAGGGCTTGGGGTTTGGAGTTCGTGTGGGTTTGGGGCTCAGGGTCTCCGGTCTTAGGGTTTAGGGTGTTTGAGGCTTCGGGTTTTTGGGGGTTTAGGGCTTACGGATTTTGGGTCTGGGCTTTTTGGGGCTCAGGGCTTCGGGTTCGGAAAGGGCTTTGGATGCAGGGTTTGGGTGCCGTAGAGCCCAGTAGTGTCTTAACTTGGGGGCTTCGGCTTCAGGGTTTAGGGCTTCGGTTTAGGGCTTGGGGCTTAAGGCTTAGGGATTAGGGTATAGGGATTTGGGTTTAGGTTACCTCCCAAACATTGAAGTGGGGCTTCAGCTCAGGATCCCTTCGGCACTGCGTTCTGGTTCCACGACTCCTCGCAACACGAACGGAGGGGCCAAAGGGTTTAGGGTTCAGGGTTTAAGGTTCGGAGTGTTTGAGCTATAACGGCGCAGTTCAAGACGGGCATCGTTTGTGGCGCGGTTTCGTGTTCCAGGTCGGTTCAAGACTCTGTCGGCTGCTTGGCTAATGATCGGCTTTAGGCGATGCTTGACGATCCTCAACACCTTTTGGGTCTCAGAGTTACAGCTGAGATGAGCCTGAATCTCGAACCCTGGTACCCGAGACTACAGCTCCTTCTTTCCGGAAATCATGGACCTTAGACCCTAAACATCGCTGCACCTCAAGCTCTCTAACAACTAACAAAGAATTGATGGCTCTCCTTCTGTTTCCCTTGTGGGATGAGACAGGACTCAGACTCAACTACAGGCTAAATATACACACTACACCCTGTAATGTAGGGACCTTAATAATTAGAATAGGGTTTTGGGGCATATCTTACTATAATTATAATAAGGAAAACCCAAAATAGTATAGCTAATTATTAAGGCCCCTATATTTAGATCCAAAGGCCTGATTCGGTGCGGAGTTGGGGTAAAGTCCCTGCTTTCCCAGATATCCTCAAGATCACTGAAGAGCCTGCAGTGGATGGGAGGCCAGGGGGAGTCCAAAATAACCCCGAGCTCCCCCAAGTCTAAACCGTAGAATGACATGCAGGGTCTACACTTCAGAGTTCAGAGTGTTGGGTCTTAGGCTTCTCTTTAGGGTTTAGGGGTTCAGGGTTTAGGGTTGGGGATGTTTGCCTTGGGGTTTACGGTGAGGGGTCTCAACTCCGATCCCGAAGCCCATCTAGAGCTTTGGAAGCTTGGTGTGTTGGGTCTAGGAAGTGGAGGAGCTAAGGACCTGAAAGGCCCGCAATCTGACTTCAGCTCCAATGCAGTGGCAAAGCTGCCCTGTCAAACAACAAAACAAGCTTTAGGGCAACCCTAAACCCTAAACCCTAAACCCTAAACCCTAAACCCTGACAAACCCCAGCACCGAAAGTGTCAACGCAGCCCTGGATCTTCCGGCACCGCAGGCCTTGTCCCAGGACTTGTCATGCGACTCGGAAGCTTTGAGAACACTGTCCTGCACTGGTTAGCATGATAGGACTAGGGGTTTGGGCCGTAGTTGTGAGTCCGTCTACAGTTTCTGGTAGCTTCTGGCTAAGGGTTTCCGATGTGGGTTTGGGCTAGCCCAAAGGATCGTAAGCAATGTAAAGCACCTGTGCAAAAAAGGGGGTAGGGTTTCTAACTTATAGGAATCACTGCTATGAGTTTGGAAAGTATCCCCCATAACAGCTATTATCTAGGATCCTTTGGGTAGACGCCCCTCCGACCAAAAATCGGAATCCAGAAGATGAGCAAAAGCCTCGCCTGAGCAGACCTGGCTCAACTGGCCCTTAGAGCAATACCCAAAGGGTCCTAGGTACCGTTATGGGAGAAACTGTCGCCACTCACTCCGAATCTCGAAAACCCACATGCTACTAAATAGGTAAGGATCCTTTGGGAAAGGACTCCCACACGTTCTGATGGCTGCAGGATTCGGGCCCGGGTTGCTTACTGCTTAAGGGTAATATGAGAACCTGATTACGAAACCTTGTGTGTCTATTAGAGTTCCTCACATGGAATCCAAATATTCTGGAGTTAGATTAATCAGGTTCCTACATTATCGGGTTTAGGTCCTTACAGGGCCTTATAAGTTATCTAAGGCTTTGTGCTGTTAGCTCTTTCTCCTCCTTTGCATAAGTGAGCTTTTGGTGTGGGGTTTAGCGCGCGCCCCTGAGTTCAGGGGCCTTCGTCATCTGTTTGTTGAAAAATGGGGTCCGGGTTCAAGGCGTAAGGCTTCGCGGTTGTTGCCCGTTAGCTCCTTCGTATGCTTGATGAAATCGCTGGCGACTCAGGCATCACCCATGTGTCGGACCCTTCTACTGAGGTTAAGGTTGACAGGAAACCTCAGAGAATCTAATTCTAGTTTGTCGAGCAAGGGGTTGGGGAATGCTTCCAGCGCGCAGCCTACCGTTTAAGATGCCAACAAGCCCCCCAAGCTGTGGGGAATCACACCGAAAGATTAACGAGGCTTCGGGCTTGGGTGGTTTGGGGTTGAGGGTTGGTGGTTTAGGGTTTAGGATTGAGTTTCCCGAGCTTGTTCGGAAGATAAGCACATCCGATCGCGTTATATCTCCCTACGCCGTGAAATGCATCCCTTGTAGTAGAAGGCCTCAGAGAACCCTTGAAGGAACCCTTGAGCGAAACATAAAACAAGGCAGCTTTATAAGACTTGAAGGAGCCCTTAGATGAACCCCTTGTAGAAACCCGCCTCCTAGACTCCCGGAGCCCTTGCCGGAATCCGAGAGAGCGCTTAACCACTACCGAACGTGTTTCAAACGGCCTCCAAGCTGCTGGCATCCACCTCCTGCTCTTTCGCCGAAAGGCCAATGTTCCAGGTGTCAGGGTTTACGACGCCACGGCTATCAGGGTCGATGAGGATTATTAGTATTATTATTATTATATTGCCAATAATTCTATTTTATGGGTTTAGGGTTTCTTTGAAGATTTTCAAGGCTCTCAGGGATAAACCCTGTACCCAGGGCACTGCTTGAAGGTCCGGGAGGCTTGGAGTCCAAGCTGCGGAGTGAAATACTCCGTGGGTTTTAACTTGCGGAGGCCTTCTGTGCGTTCTTGACGGCTCTGGAAGTTTCACTTTGCTCAAAGCTAGTGCCGAGTTCATAATTCGTGCATGTCTGTAGCTCAAGCCGCAGAAGAATCTGGTCGCTAGATGTCGCTAGCCTTGACAGGGGCTATAGAAGTATGTTCTTTTCAGCTTCTCAACGGCTTTCTGGGTGGGCAGCAGGGACACATCGTTTGTTTGTGGAGGAGGATCGAAGTGCGGGTCAAGGGCTTCGGCGCTAAATCACAGGTCCCGCGACACGCCCTAAACCACTAAATCCCCCAAAAATTAGGAAAAACAAGGGCTTCAATAGCAGATTACAGTCTACATACTTTCAATGTCCAGGCGTGCCCTAAACCCCAAGACGGGGCGCCTGAGGTCTTGGCCAAAGGAATACGTGTTTGGAATTGGAACCGTGACGCGGCTTGACCTGGGCTTGGAAAGAGTCCATTTTGGACTTGGATCCTCCAGGCCTCAACCTGATATGCCCAAGCTTTTTTTTCCAGCCACCCCAGAATCTCCGCCGATGGGACTCAGAAGCAAGAAAAGAAATACCAAAGCAAAACATTTCCGATGGCATTATAAGCGCGCGGGGTTTCCCCAGAATAGACGAGTCATAGAGCTGCTGACTTGCAAGACAGCTGCACGTGGCACCATTACATCGAGATTTCCTTGCCTTCGCATCGTAGTAGTTAGTTCAACGTACGGCTTGAACATCCAAAGTGCCATACTTCGCAGCAGCTAGACTGTACCATGCTGCGTAACTTTCGCAAGTAGAACACGTGTTCACTGAAACAGCACTAACACTCATTCCGACCGAAGTGACTCTGCTTGAGCTTATACGTGCTGAAGGCAGCCTTGATGATGCTGCGATAGTCGTGAGACGGCAGGGAAGAGGCCTCGCGTGCTTCTGTATATGCGAGTGTACGTATCAACACGTATACAGTCATGCATGCACCTACTTATCTACTTGCATTCTATTTTGAAACTAGCGTGCACTCCTGCAGGGCACATACATACATACAAGCACTCGATCCTTAGAGGGTCCGATCGGCAGGGTCGAATCAAACTTTAAATCTGTATTCCGAAGAAACCGCAATCATCCGTGAAGGCTTCAACCCTCAATGTAGAAGCCTTAATAATTAGAATAGGCTTTTGGGGCCCGTTATACTATAATTATAATCAGGACCCCTATGGAACAATCCAGGTAATTATTTAGGCTTCAACCCTTACCCTATCACCGCTCAGCCCAAAACAAAAACCTTGCGAACACGTGGCAACCAGTGGCTCGGAGCTCTTGACCAGCATCTTGCACAGCTTCTCCAAACCCGTTGCGTCTCCCTTCCGGCTGCCGTGCGTTGGACGAAAAAACCCTGGTCTTTGGATGTAGGGATCATACTTTTCAGGGTTGATAGGATTTATGAAAAATTCCCTACATCTGCTCTAAACCCGAAACCCCAAGGGGTCCGAGCACATGTGGTCAGGAAAGTGCCGCAATTGACCTCCAAACGAAGCCTAACGAACAAGTGACACTTTTCAACGCTGGCGCTTGCAAAAAGATTGGGGACGGTCCTTCCATCGCAGACATGAGATTACAGAACAATCAGAACTGTTCCGTTTTTTGAGTGTCTAGTCAAATGCACCGATGCCACATCTGCGAAAAGGAATCCGAAAGGTATATATTGAGAACTACTGAGAGGAATGTATAGGCACTGGCAGGCGCCGAATCCGAAGTCACGGAAGCCGACCAACGCACAGCCATGCGCGGAAATGGAATTGACTATTCAAGTGGTCTGAGGATCACGGGATCATGATGCAAATCAACAACACGCTCGGCCGCAAATGCAGAACGGCTCGAGATATCTGACAAGTCTGCATGAACAGATCTTAAATGCACAGAAGGGCAAGGGTTTTAAAAAGAAGAGAAGTCGGCTACGAAGCAAGCAGCTATTAAGGCCATGCAGTACACTGCAACTGCATATTGCCTCTGCTGCTGCAAGCCTGGAGTGTCATGTGGATGCAACCACATGTGTACAAATTGGTGCAACGCCGGTCAGTGAGACCTCACCAGCGTCACCAGATGCAGACCCGACGTCATACAAAGCAAGATATAGTGAAGCTGGCCGCCTCCGCGAAGAGTGTGTCAAAGCAAGAGTGCAGCCTCGATGAGCTTTGACGATCAAAGCGAAGTGCCAACTGAGCGCCAGTTGGCCTCAGGGTCCACCGGATGCACTCGTACTTGCGACTTGATAGACCCGGTCCAGGCTTCACCAAAGAAGGCTTCGCGACGGTTCTCAACCGTCATCTGGAAGGACTGCGGGTGCTTCGCCACACGAATGAGGTATTGTTCGAGCTGACGAACATAGAGCTTGTGTGTTGTGGCGTCTGGTGGCTGGACGTCCTTTGGCGGTGCTGGTAATGTCGTAGGCACGTAGCACACCTTCTGACTGGTGCAGCTTCCTGTGCACCCCATGGCAACCGTACCGGCCTAGCTCTGCTCCCGGGCCAAAATCTCACACTGAACTGTCCATTTCTCTCGCGTGCGAACCCCTGGCAAGTCCATCAGTGTAGCTAGTTTAAGTCTATCCCCCGGCCCTCCCGTCTCTGACGGGACTGGGATACAATCGCTGTGGGAATCGGACGGACCCCGGACCGGACCCAACGTCATGCATATAGGCGTGGACCAACGACGAAGGAGTGTAGGGTTTCTTGTTTAAGTGTACACTCCACCCTTCAACAAACGTCTTGCTCGCACCCCCACATGAAATGTGCTGATTAAGAGCCCCTAAACGCCATCAACTTTTCAAAAACAGAAACCTGGTGACATCGTACAGCTGAAGCCGTGGGGTGCCTTGCGAGCATGGCCCCGGAGTGGCAAGTGGCGCTCCCCTTTTAGAAGAGCCTCAGCTGTCGATCTAACCTTTAGCCGTCTGGGCCTTAAACCCCGTCGAATATTCAAAACCGAAGCAATATACCCGAACAAAAACGTGAAACCCCAATAACACCAATCGGCAAAACCCTAAGCTGCATTTGCTCTCTAACGCGGCATAGATTCCATCGTCCGCTCCACTTGCTCGAGCTTGTCATCGAGCCAGACCAATTCCTGCTGATGGTGTTTGTTTCTTTAAAGTGCGATGGCCTGTTCTGTGCGAAAAAGCCTGCCTCAGGTGAGAGGGGTATATAGGGCTTTAGGTTTTTATGCTCAGGATAGGTTTTTCCCATACTTCGAAACTCTTGTAGTAACCAACAGGAATAGGAAGTACGACAGTTTGGGGTCTAGGCGGGGGTTCACCGTGCCGAATAACGATATCTCTAACTGAGAGGGCCTAGCACAGTAGTCCCTAGCCCTAGCTTATCAGAATCGCTTTAGGCTTAGCAGTTGCTTCTATGATGTACCCCGAAACCCTGTTCTGACTATTGAGGCCTCCATCTGATGGAGCCCCGCTCCTGCCGCTTTTCCTTGTAGGAGAGGCCGATGCGCTTATTCATCACCTCCAGACGCAGTGAAACGGTTTAGGGTTTAGGGTCTAGGGCTCGGGGTCAAGGGTAAATGCTTGAGCACTAGCCAAAGCAGAGAAAACCAACGTCTGAAAGCCTGAAGCTAAACCCTATAATATGTGGCCTTAATGATTAGAATATGGTTTTGGGACCAGTTATGCTATAATTATAGTAAGGAACCCTCAAAGTATTGGCAAACCTGAGGCCTTAGAGCCTTGAATCTTCACAGATCCAGACCGCCAGCCTGAAATACCCTTTGCGGGGTTAGTCAGGGGTTTTCGGGGTTAGGGATAGGGACAAGTTAAGGGGAGAACATGTGCTCAAAGGGGAGCCGTCCGTTTGGAACAACTCCTCTTGGCGATTCTTGTGCATTCGAGCGGTTTTTGAGTTGTGTGCATTCAAGGTGGTGCGGCTTCAATAGTCCAGAACTCTGGCACGAAACTCTGGAGTGCTTCGGGTCTTTAACTAGAGGATCCATCTCAAACACCACGCAGCAAAGACAATCGAATGCAGAACCATGTGCTGACACGTCGCGCAACGCCAGTCCTTGACCGAGTTGCCTGCACGGTATGGTGTAAACCCTAAACCCTATAAACCCCAGAGCCCATGTTGACAAGGGCTCTGGCAGGACATGCGGGTTGGCCAGCAATACCCCACTTTAGCAAACCCTTTTAGGCTTTAGGAGTTTAGGCTCTGGGTTTTGGGTTTAGGGCGGGTTTAGGAGTTTAGGGCTTAGGTGCAATGAACGCCACGTCAACCCTCCTCCCAGCCTCAGTTGTAAAACTTCTTTTCGAACAAAACTGAAACCCCAAAGACCCGAAGGATGATCCAGACACAAATGCTCAAGCCTACATAATTAACCTTAAGCCGAGACCTGTACACGGCTGGACACAAGAGGGTGCAGGGAGCCGAGGATCAGGGTTTTGACAATAGATGGACGATTCATTGTTTCGAGTAATTAAAATATGACTTCGGTAATTATTGCACAGGTATCATTCTGAACACGATGAGGAATACATGTTAATTCCTCAACCTTCTGCATGTGTCGCAAAGATGCTGTGGGATACCCTTAAAGCAGAACACGGCAAGCAACGATGCAAAGCAGGCTGACATATATATGCGCATATAGATGTATATGTGTGAGCGTATATATATATATATATCTTGCTTGAAGTCTGACACGTCACACATCATGCGGAATGCAGCATGTGTACCGAAGGCTTTCAAGATCAAAATTGCGTGCTCTGTTTTACGAGGGTTATGACGGTTATGAGCCCAACGCTTGGCCTGTAAGGTCAGTAAGCCGTTGTGGTGAGCGATGGAAGGGCCTTCAGTCGGCGGCGAGCCGTGTGATGGAGGGTCTGATCCTGGTGCTTCGTTGGAGCCTCCCAGACAGGATATGCCGGAAGTGGCAAGGCATCGCCTGGAAGTTAGAGTTGACGAAGCGGTGGAGGAGCCAAGCTACGACACCCCGGGGTCACAAAGAGTTCAGAAGGACGAGGCGCACGGAAGCCAGGGAAGCCATGTTGATCCGTCCACGTCTGCGGTCGGATCAACCTCTGGCGGGCAGCGGCCTGCACCTGCTGAACTGGACGTGACAACACAAGATGGTGCAGCCGATGGCGCGAGTGCGAAAGCGTGCGGCAGATCTCTCCGGAGCAAAGGAAGGAGGATGTGAGCCAGATTTCTCGTTCTTTGCAGTATATGACTGTTCTGCTTTCAAGATTCAAGCTTGGTGACTCGTGTGGACAGGGTGGAACAGAGACAGTCAAGGAGCGGTTCGGTTGCTCCCGAGGGTTCTCAGCTTACTCCGTCGGCAGATACTCCGTCGATGCATCCGAGCTGGGATGATGTGGACCGTCTGGGCGGCCAACTTGCAGCGATGTCAGTGGACTATGCTGGGCTAGCTGCAGGGGTGGATCCTCCACCTGGAATGGAAAGGAGACCACTGGCGCCGATGTCAAGCATGCTGGCTGGAACCTTCAGGAACTGCGAGGCTTCGAATGGAGGAGGCATTACGAGGTGTTCCGGGAGCCTCAACAGGCATCGGAGCTTCCAAGTATGCCAAGACCTCAGCAGGCGTCCGAGCTTCCAAGTATGTCAAGATCTCAACAGGCGTCGGAGCTTCCAAGTATGTCAAGATCTCAACAGGCATCGGAGCTTCCAAGTATGTCAAGATCTCAGCAGGCATTCGAGCCTCCAAGTATGTCAAGACCTCAGCAGGCATCGGAGCTTTCAGGTATGTCAAGACCTCAGCAAGCGTCGGAGCCGGAGCTTTCAAGTATGTCACGACCTCAGCAGGCGTCGGAACTTTCACGTACGTCAAGACCTCAGCAGGCGTCGGGGCTTTCAAGTATGTCCTTAAGGTCGGCACTAGAACTTCCAAGTACAGCTGGGCTTCAGTCCTCTATGTCAGCTACTGCCAGGAACGGAGGCGTCAGGTGTGTCTGGAGGGTGTGCGGCTAATCCTTTGGGATGGTTCCGTGGGCCAGCAAATGAAGCTCAGAGTGGGCGCAGCATGAGTGGGCCTCAAGCGACGGGTCTCCAGTTTCAGTTGCAGCGCTCTATCCGCCGGTGGAGGCGGGAAACGGCACGAGTGGTGGCGGTCTTGTTGTGGATGCGCCTCAGTCAGGCTTGGTGATGGTGGATGGAGTGTGGCGGGAGTACCAACTTGTTGGAGGACATATGGTGGCGCAGACGCGACCGGGCGCTGGCTACAATGCGGCACAGTCAGCAGCTACGCCTTCTGTTACGCCCTCCAATGCAGCTTCATGCGGGGCCGATGCCCTATCCTATCCACCACCGCCTCCGCCGAACCCACCTGTGACTCCAAAAGCAGCAGCGACGAGTTGGACGGCCAACTTGACTCCAGCGGGGACACCGTGCCTCCTCCTCCTCCTCCGGGCCCGCCGTCTACGAACCCGACAGCAGCGGCAGGCGGAACCATGGGACATGAAGTTGAGGAGCCGCCCAAGCTTTTTACGAAGCTCCCAGCACTGCCTTCAGCCAAAGGCGGTGGTAGTCAGGGACCGGGGGAGAACCTGAAGTCGGAATCTCGCGATGGCGTGGCTCATGGGGGTCTTTGTGACGGAGTCAGGGACCGGGGGAGAACCTGACGTCGGAATCTCGTGAGTGATGGCGTTGCTCATGGAGGTCTTTGTGTACGTAAAAGATGGGAGGTGGATCCGTCACTTTGCTTTTGTTGTCTTCCATGCAGAGCTCCTACCGAGGAAGTGCCTGAGCGTTTCTACATTGGGGACGACGAGGAGGCAGAGTACCCTGGCGCTCCGAGAGTCCGAGAGTCCTGGGGAGCATTTGGTCCTCTTACCGCGGCGGTTCTGAAGGCTCTGCAACCTGAAGATGGCATGTCCTATGAGATCCTCGCGTCTGAGGTTCCGTTGGAAGTTGGCTGGGTTCTTTGAGACGCATGTCGACGAGGCGCGGTGCCTTTTGGCGGAGGAGGAAAATCTCGAGCGCGCCCTCAAGGAAGAGCCAGCTCCTGGTGATGATGTTTGTGGCCATGAGAGGTGGTGCAATTCCAATCGGGTCGACCTCGAAGCTGAGATGGAAACATGGCAGCGAGCGGTTTGCGATGGCGGAGATCGAGTGTGCGCGGCCCAGCTTGCCGACGGCGAGGTCCCTCTTCACACTAAAACGATTCCCAACGATAAGATGGGTCCCCACAGCATGCTGTCCGAGTATGAATCCCTCGTGAAAGAGAATGATGCGGTTGAGCCTTTTCCGGAGGAGACCTTGGAGCAGTGGAAGAAGGCCAGCAAGGAGTTTCACCTTGTACCGGGGAAGACGGTGCACAGCGTCAAGGCGTTTACGGGACGGCTCAAGACAAGGGCCGTCATTTGTCTCGAACTTTCTTGGCCAGAGCTTCTCCAAGGATCAAAAGTGCGGCCGGCACAGACGGTGTTCTGATTCGCGTACTATTACGAATGGTGGCTTTATGCTCCTGGAGTTTGTGCATGATGGATGTTCGAACAGCCTTTTTGCTAGCGCCGCTGCTGTTTCAGGAATCGGCCCACGCTTGTTCAAGTTCCGAAGATGTTCCTCAGGGGCGGGGTCTGCAAGGAAACTATTTGGAGGGTGAAGCGGGCCCTCTACGGGATGGTGACTTGCCCCTGCCCTTGGGAGGTGTATCGCAACAAGACGATGGCTCAGATGCGCGGTACTGTGCCAGAAGGTGAAGTTCGGTTTGAGCCCTCAGAGATTGATGGGAGCCTGTGGTGTATCGTGGTTGGGACCAGGAGGGCTGGTGCTATCATATGCTACGTGGACGACTTGCTGATTGCCGGGGAGCTGCCGGTTGCAAAAGAGGCATGCCCAGATGATAGCCCGGACTTGGAAGGCACGGAGCCTCAATGGGACGATGCGTCGTTCCACGGCTTCGAGATCCAGCGCACCGAGACGGGCTTGACCCTTCGTCAGGACAGCCACACCAAGGACGTTGTGTCCAGATATCCGGACCTTGAAGGATATGAGGAAGTCCCGGCACCTACTCAGCTGAACCCGGAAGACTTCGAGCTCAAGGATGGCGAGTGTGCTGCAGATTTGGTGAAGACGGCACAAACCATGGCAGGTGAGCTGCGAGGGCTGGCTGGTCGTTGTCGTCCGGAGATCATGTACGCCGTGAACTTGCTGTCGCAAGCTATCAGCAAAAGGCCAAAGGTAGCGGTCTGCCGCGGTGGCCATCTGCGGAAGTACCTCAAGCGCTACCCCGAGGCCGGCATCTTCTACGCGGCTAAGTCTGAGTTGACTCAAGGTGCCCAGGTGTCTTTTTGGGGGGTTGTCATGGAGGGCTTCTGTGACGCGAGCTTTGCCCCGAATTCAGGACGGAGCCAGCAGGCTGTCATGATTTTCGTCTTGGGTGGCTTGGTGGCTTGGACTAGTGGAAGGCAGGCCTTTGTTACCATGTCCACGGCCGAGAGCGAGTTGGTCGGGATCTGCGAGCGTACCATGTGCATGAAGTCTGTGGAGTAGCTTTTGGCGGACGTGATGCTCACTTCGAAAGCACGTGCGTCTGAGGTCATGAAGGCCATCTACAGCGACAGTCAGGCTGCCCTATCAGTGTGCCGCTGCGCTGCTGGATCCTGGAGGACGAGGCATCTCAGGATTCGCGGGAACATGATCGGGGAACTTCTTGAACTCCCGGATTGGGCGGCGTTCCATGTTGATGGAAAGATCATGCTTGCAGATTTGGGAACTAAATCCGCACTGACAAGATGAAGGAGCTGCGTAAGCGTGTGGTTGGTGGATCAAAGAGTATACTCCGGTCAGCCTCGAGAAGTTTATTACTCTCTTGTGCCTGGCATCTTTGGTTGAGCGTGTGGATGGAGCAGAGGCTGCTGCGATTGCGGACCAGGGCTCCTTCGACTACATGTTCTTCGGGGTGTGCATTGTGGCAGTGGTGGCTACATTGCTACATGGGAGTGTTTGAAGTCGGTGGCTTCATGGATGTGGCAGTCACGCCTGTGGATTGGCTTCGCTTCGCTCCTCCCAGTGGAAAGCGGGAGTACTGGGAGATCGATGAAGACCGCAACATTGCGATCAGATACCATCCTACTTCGAGGTTGAACTTGTTCGTTCCTCGACAGGCAGCCGGAGGCCCGCCCATGAACCAACCAGTTCACAGGCGAGAGACGTACCATTGGACGCCTACCGGGCGGTGAAGTTCGAGTTCATTTGGATGACTTCACGGCGCTAAGCAAGCCGGCTCAGCTCTTGGCGAACAAGGAGTGGAGAGGACAAACGGAGCTGCGCTTGAAGCAGCATCGTTGAGTGTCTTTCGAGAATGACATGAACAAAGCCTTGAGTCTTCAGGAAGGTCTGATGAGGACCTTCGAGTGATGGAAGCAGTGGAGCTGCTTCGCTTCCCTCGTGTATAGTCGAGGGCCTTGAAACGTTTGGTTCTTCTTTTGGCGATGCGCCAAAGGGGGAGTCTGTGAAGTCTGACACGTCAGGCGAAATGCAGCATGTGTGCCGAAGGCTTTCAAGATCAAAATTGCGTGCTCTGTTTTACGAGATATATGTAGGGTTTAGGGTTTAGGGCACACACAGACACACACTATATGACTCATGGTGCGGCTACTTTGGGGCTTAGAGCTTCGTCCGAAACTCTGAAGCCTGACCTTCCAAAACAGGAGCCTTAAAACTCAGAACAAAGTCTTGTGGGTATAACATAAAACTTACAGTATACGATGCAAATACTTACTAAGGGCCGCAAGTAATAATGGTTCTTCCGTCCGTAGGACCCTAGCACCCGACCCCTCCGCCTGGGTTTCAACACTTCAACGCGTTGCAAAAAGTTGCTGCGGAATAAGCATCGTTGTCCCAACCGTGGACCAGTGATTCTTCCCACTTCAGAAAACATGGTAGTGCTGTGGTAAGACGGATCCTGAACTCAAGACCCAAAGCCCATAGCAGGGAACACAACCCGTGTATCAAAGGCGATTTTGCGGTCAAGAGGCCACTCTTCCCGCCGGCCAGGAGGTCTCTGCAGTAGCGCAGCAGTTCCTTCAACCGGTAAGGTCCACACATAATATGGCTTTCGGGTACTAGAATTGAGACGATAGGCATTGGAGTTTCATGCTCAGGATCTAGGGAATTGGATTTACATGTAAATTACATCAGACGCGAGAATTTGCGAGGCTGCAATTTAGGATTTACAAATTCTGTTCAGTCTAAGGTATATAGGTACGACCATAGTACCACGGTTCGGGCCTCAGCCTCCGTGTCAAGCACTCAGGGCATCGAGATCATGCAGCAACTGTGTAGGGTAGCTGAGAAAGCAGTTGAATGGCAAGACGTCAGTAGAAGCAAGCCTCCCAGATAAAACACCAGGCGCTATCAGCAAGTGGTCCAACAGAGGACATTGCCGGGATTTGCAACCGGAGTTCATCCTGATTTGTTCTAGAAGGCTTATGGGCTTCAGCGATCTTTGGCTCTGCAAGTAACCTCATAGTACTACGGCCAAAGGCAGCACAATTCACGTAGCTGACAGCAAGGACTTGCAGTGGCTGATCACTTGGAGTCTTCTCCGCCGTCAACAAATACGATAATCAGCTTTCTACGAGTACCGACACTTGTTCACAGTCCTCCGCGACCCTATCCACTGGGTGGCTTAGATGTTTTTGTTGCATGGAGCATGGGCGTGTTTTTCTCGAAGGCTCGAGGGTCTACCTATCGTCTCCATTGTAGCTCCTTTTCGGGGTCACCTTTCCGGATCCATATTTAAAGAATTTGCTAAACCGAAAAAAAAAAGAACCGCCATGGAGAAACGCCAAACCCTAAACCCTAAACCTCAAACCCTAAACCTCTGTTCTTGGAGGCTCGAGGTCCTAGATTGTGAAGGCTCCAGGGGGTTTGGAGCGACGGTGTTAAGGTTTAGGGTTTACGGCTTTGGGGTTTAGAGTTTAGGGTTTAGGGTTTAGAGTTTAGGGTTTAGAGTTTGCGGCTTTGGCGGTTTAGAGTTTAGGGTGTGGGGCCTCAGGCGATTTTGGGGTCCGAAACACCTCGCTTGGCTCGCAGCAGAGGGTGAAGCCAGGTGCAGAGGCAACGCCAGCGAGAAGATCGCCTGAGCTTTGGATCTCCTAGTTGCAGGGTCCAGGTTTATAAGGCCTAAGGTTTAGGCTCTCTAGAGCCTTGGCCTTGTAGGGTCTAAGGTTGCAGGGGTATCACAGTGGCCTCGTCAAGCCCAAGTAGAAACTCTGTATTCATTCAGGCCGGTTTATGGGTTTAGGGCTTGAGGTCTCGGGGAAGTTTGGGAGTGTAGATCAAGGGCTAGTTCTACCACAGCATTCACACTCTCAGATTACAAAAGCTCGAGCCCTGGAAATCCTCGTGGTCCCGACGGCTGATCAGAAGGAAACCATGACACCTTCAAGCCCCACGAACACAAAAACCCTGAAGCAACAAAACCCTGGAGCTTAACTGAGCTATCTCTTTGCATGCCTTTATGCTAGAACCCCGGAAAATCCCAAACTCTGCACCCTGAACGTTCTTAGACCCCAAGACGAACTGTAACCCTGCCCTTCCCAACAAACCGAGGAAGTTAGAATGGACGGTAACCCCTATAGAGACTGCATCCCAAACTTCCATTACTTAGACCCCAGACCTTTATGCACAAACCCTACCTGTAGTCTCCATTGTAGTTCCTTTTTGGGGGTTACCTTTTAGAATCATATAATATGAAATAGAAAACCCAAAAAAATAAACTAGAACAAAAACAAAAATAAACTACAACGAAGAAAACCCTAAACCCTAAACCCAAACCCCTGAATCGAACGCCGTCAAGTGGCGCTCCACGCGTTGCAGAAGCGTCGCGAAACAGGGATCCGGGAGTCCTCGAAAGGGTTGAAGGGTGCAGGGCTAAGGGTTGAGTGTTTCGGAATCTTAGGGCCTGGGTTATAAGGTTTCCGGGTAAATTTAGAGGGCCTAGAAGCCCTAAACAGCCTGCGACACAATAAGCCCTGCCCACCACTTTAGAGACTTTGAGAGAGACACGAAGCCACCCCAAGACTCCGTGCATCCTTCACACCTTGTACACCCTTTGGTTGAGGGTTTAGAAAGCCTAGTCTTCCCGATGTTCGCTGAACGCACTTCGACGCGATGTTCCCGCACTCTAGCCACGATAACACCACAGACTACAAATTGTTTTATGTTCCACCACAACACACTTTAAAAGCTTTACAGAATCGAATAGTCCATACTCCGAACAAACCAAACATCACACTCCGCTGTTGAAATGTTGCAACTGCTGACTAAGCTCTGTCAGACTCTATCATGAAGCCTTTCAGCCTTAATACCACATCACGCAGGCGATAAATCTAATTCCTGAACCTATGAGAACTAAGCCACCAAAAAACAAAGAAGCTGACAGGCCTTAGGCCGAATTGTAATGCTATGAAGCCTAATTATAAGCCCTAACATCGCGAAACCCTTAAGCCTTGAAGGGCGTGGACCCTGGGCCCACGGCCTGCGTCAGAAAGGCCACTGGCAGCGGCCATGCTTGGTCGGAAGCGGCCGACATCCACGGTGTTTTGCAGAACACTAAGAGGTTTCAGCTTGGTTTTCGCGGGTTCACGGGCAGTTTTCGATGCTAAACCGATCTGAGTGTGTAGAATAAGGTTTTGGGTTTTGGGGTAGTTGCACTAGCCTACAGGACAGTTGGTAGGGACTTTAGTCTAGGAGAACAGTGCTACGATAGATTATTCCGACCCCTACGTGATGGGTGTAGAGCTTTTTACTGAATTTTCGGGGTCTACGGGCCACAGGGTACAGGAGTCTGTTGCCTCTAGGGCTTAAGATTTAGGTTTTGTGCTTTCGACGAGGCTTTACCTAAAGCTGTCACATGCGACGGCGCGTCGCACTTCACGTGATTCTGCGCCGATCGTTGATCCTACTTCAGGGTGGTGGCTGCCTTCATTGGCTGGGCGGGAGTGTAACTATGGCTTGCGGCTGAAGCAGCTTTGTGGCAGATCTCAACAAGGAATGCAAACAACACATATGGTGCGAGGGATCCGATGGGCCGGGGTGGGGGGTCATCGCTCAACGCAGCACCCTGGAGGAAGTGCAAACTCAGCAGGGTATGAGGAAGGCATGTGTGTTGAAACGTAGAACATGCATGTGTGTGCGTGTGCGCGTAGGAACACACGCATGCATGCATATGCGAAACAAGGATGGGACAAAACAACACAATCCCAACAACTTGGCGGATCTTTGCAGTCTCTCCCGTAATTACACCCGCAAACGCCCTAAGCCACCCTAGAGACCCCGAAGAACCCGGAACACCCGGAATTGAAGCGCCCATCGCACCTGGAAAGCTAACCACTTCTTCTCGAGCATCGAGAGAAAAGGGCGAGTATGCAGGCGGTCCTTAAGGTTGCGCCTTAGGCAAAGCGTTCAGGGTTTAGGGCCTTCGGACAAGGGGTTCTAGGCTGCTACTGCTTTGGCTTTAGGCTTTTGTGTTTCGGTATATAGGGCTTAGTCTGCTTACTGTTCAAATCTGAGATTTGGGCCTGGGATCAAGGGCCGGGTAGAAGCACGTGGAGAAGTAGATGCGAGCTCAGGAACCAACTTTGGACCCTAAACCCTGATCCTTAAACCCTAAAGCCCCAAACCTTCAAACCCCGGGCTTTGGGAGTATCTTCCAGTATGCTTAAAAAAAAGGGATCCCTTGGGAAGAGCATTAGCCCTTGTACAGTTAAAAACCCCAAGCCCTAAGCTTAGATCCTGTGCATCCGGCCCCTCACCTCCCAAGCAATACCGACTCGCTGAGGTGCTGACAGAAAGTGCTGCCGAACCAGAATCGAGGAGAGGGTCGAACTTACCATGGCCTCATCGAGTTTTCAGGGATGCTATTCAGGTTTACGGGCATGTTCTTCTTTTTGGAGTTTGAGTTTCGGCTTCATAGGTCTTAAGGTTTGGGGTTGAGGGATTGTTAAGAGTAGGCAGTGAGGGGCTCAGACTTTAGGGTGTAAGTTATTCTAGATGGTTTTAGGATTAGGGCTTATAGGGCTTATAGGCTTAGGGCTAAAAAGTTTAGGGTTCAGGGTTTGAAAGGCCGCCGGGTTTCGGCTATGGGGTTTGAGTCTTACTGGCTGAACGGCATGGCCGGGTTCTGGGTCTTTTCGGCGTTTAGGGTTTAGGGTCTTGGTGAGGTGGGTGAAGTGGGTTTGATTCTGTCAAATCGAATAGTTCCGGTTCGATTTTCGACTCGGGTTCTGAGTGATTCCGACCTAGTCATAACAAACCACGCAAGAAGCAAGCGAAGGCGTCACGTGATAGCCGGAGTCACAACAGCCAGCTCGGAAGTATGAAGCTCACACTAATTTCGGAATGAGGTGGAAGCTGGGGCCTGTGTACATCCATGTATTGCTGTTGTCATGTCAGGACTCCGGTAGGTAGGTCTGCATGTATGTGATGATGCATGCAATGCAAGAAATGAATGCTTGCCGCTTCGTGTCTACTTACGCACCTGCAGCTTTGGTCACCCAGTTAACTTAGTACTATAGGCTGAGGCCCAAGCCAAAACTCCTTTGGCACCACCCTAAACCCTTGAACCCCCAAGGCCTGAACTGCACACGCTTAACCCCAAACCTCAGACCCTGGAAACCTAAATCCTCACCCTGGAAGCCCGGAGCCATGGAACCTTAAAGCCTAAACCCAGAACCCTATATTCCGTAGAACTGGCTCTCTGAACCCTGAACCCAACTAGCCTGACGAAATTCTCTCTCTCTCTATATATATATATTTATTTATTTATTTATTTATATATTTATACATAACATACGTATCTGTATGTATTTACTTGCTGGTTAATCTATGTACTGAACGAAGCAGCTCCTACATGGCACATCAAAAAGCCCATAAGCACAAACAAACATTCTACTAAATAAGCCCTAAACCATAACAATCCCCAAACAATGTGCTTTAACCAGCCCCAAGACCTAGACCCCTTACCATAAACCCTCAGAGAGCCCTCCTAAAACAATTCTGACAAACCCTGGACACTGAAGTCTGGCTAAAACGCCTCCGTAGAAGCCTCGAAGCTTTATAAACCCAAAACCCCAAACTCCCTAAACCCCACACCCACCAACCCCCCTAAACCCTAAACTTGGCCTGGTAGGGGAAGACATTTGGATGCAACCAGGAGCTCCGCAGGGCATCTTTGACCTAACATAGAGACAGCTCTCTTTTTGGAACCCCTTTTTCCATCTGCAAAGATCCGATCTACCGAAGGAAGGTTTTAGACCAGGGGACGGGAGCGACTTGCAGCACTCCTCAGCCAAGACGACGACCCTTACCAGTCGAGTCTCGCCTACGAACCCTCACCACACTCCCAGCCCTCACCGGAACTCACTGCAGCGAGTCTTGTAATGCCCTCTGCGTCTAGACAAAGCTTTAAGGCTTAAGGTTTAGGGTTTCTCTGCTGAGGGTTTGGGGTGTAGGGTCGTATGGGACGTAGGGTTTTGGGAAACGGCTTGGGATGAACGTGTGGGCTTTAGGCGACCGGGTTCAGGGGCTTCGGAGTTTGGGGTTGAGGATTTCGGGGCCTTTTGTGGTTTGGGACGTTAGGGTTTGTGTTTGGGGCATAAACTATAGTGATATAAGGGGTTTAGAAGGCAAACTGGCACGGCTTCGTCGTGCCGTGCATCTCCCTACAGATCCACGGACCGAAACAGGACCCGAGCTTGGACTTAGAAAACTCGCAGCTCCTGCGATGTTTTGGTTGGGTTTCGGGCTTCCTGCCAACTCAGGGCTTGGCCTGCAGGCTTCCTGCAGCGGCATAACTCCATTCTGTAGGGAGCGTGCCCTAATGTGTTTAGAGCAGAAAACCGCCAACGAAAAGAAGTGGCTCATTCATTGAGCTACATTCCCGCCTCAGAACTTCGGGTTTGGCATTTCTGAATCTCTTGCCTTTCAAGCTGAAAACGGTCCAAGGACCCAAGAAGCCCCCTTCCCGAAATCCTAAACCCTCAGACCAAAAATAAAAAAACGCTCACAGCCCCAATCCACAAGCTCATCCCTCAACACAAGAACACTCGGACCCCACACCCAAACATACAACAGAGCTGCCTGAATCTGGCCTGAATAATTCGACTATGGCTTCTAGTCGATCATTGATCTACTCAGGCAACCGATAAAGAAGACTAGTTACTGGCCCCATACACCCCTTAAGGCATCAACCCTAAACCCTCAACCCTGGTAAGCCCCAAGCCCTAAACCCTCAACCCTTAGAGCCCAAGAAGCCTCGCGAACAGCCTATCATTCATCGGGCCTGCAGGATTCTGTGCTGAACCTCTTTGAGCTCGGGCTGACCATCCCTGACAGGAGTTTAGGGTTTTGGGCTGGGTTTTGGTTTCAGGCTTAAGGGCTTGCAGAGTTGCCACAAGAATGTGCTCATGATATATGGCTTCCCGACCTCAGTGGCAGGCTTTTTGTCAATATGTATGATATATATATATACATATGTATGTATACGTGTATATATACATAAACATGTGTGTGTGTGTGTGTTATATTCAATATTGAAAAACTCTGACTTTACTATAACGATTACAAATGCTATGCAGTCTTGATATCGCTGTCAGTATTCGCAGAACCGCTGCTGCCATCACTGTCGGTGAAATGCATGGTTCCGACCACTACTATTGAGGATATCGGGCTGGTGAGAAACGAACACAGTAAACAAAATCCATCTCCCTACACAACTGGACGGAGAATGCTGAAGATTACGAAGATTACGACTATCCATCTCCGATCTGCGTGCGTGAGTTGGTGCTCGCATTCCTCTAGGATGATTGTACGTGCGGTTTGCCAGTCCTTCGGCATGAACATGTATGACAGGAGCTGCAAATCATACGGTACGACATCACGGCACAACGGCATAGTACATCTTCAGAGGTGGAAGAAAAGCTAAGACACACGCAAACACACACACAAACAAATAGTCGACTTTTGCACTATGACAGCTTCGTATGGTGGAAGAAAGGCTAAGACACACACACACACACACGCACACACTTGCAGTGCCGGTCTGTGCCGGTTGTTGTTTTCTTTATCTCTTTTTTTCTTTGGTCGCACACCTCCTTAATCATTTTTCTACTTTTTTAACCTATATGGCTAATTGTATGACTCCGGGGATCCTGTGGAACGTCAGAAGTGCCACGGATGAATTTAGCTTAGTGCATCATCAGAAAAAGTTTATTGATGCCTCAAGGCTTGCCTAGGCTTGTGGCTCAAACATCACAAGAGTGAAACTGGTTGCAGGCACACACGGTTGATCAGACCGTGCATCNNAGGGTATCCAGAGTGTCTTCGTTGGTGGCAGACCCTGGACCCTGCTGCCACCCCCTGCTGTTCTTCTTGTCTACCTCAAAGAAGCATATTACAACATCAGTTGTCAGAAACTCCGCTCGTTACAACTCAAATTCCTTAAGAACAGGATTTCCATACACACACACAAATACAGTTGACTTTTACATCGGGGCATACGACTACAATA